AAAGGCACCCCGAAGGAGACACCTATAGTTGAGCGATTGCGACCGCTGCGCCGCGCATAATCAAGTTTTAAAATTAAAACACATAATAAAATAAATACAAATTTAATTATTCATATTATTGAATCGTGTTTCTCTAAGCTGTGTGGCTAAATAAAAGGCATCCGCGACCCTAAGTCTTGCGCCTCCGTCTGGCAGTAACTTTATGTTCAGCCTAAAAAAGTATATAGTCTGAAGAACTGTGCATTTTTTTGGGTTTTTGTTGGAAAGCCAAGCGAGAAGAGCTGCTCTCTCCATATTCTGGCCTCCCAGTCGGTTTTCATTTCGCTCTTCAGCAACAATTTCGCCATCACAGATAACGTGAGTTTTGCCAAACAATATAAGGAATGCTCATTTTTATCGACACACACAGTTCAAAGGTATGTCCACCCAACTCTGGTTCCTAAGAACGGGAAGACGTAAAGTAGAAATTGGCTCTCCAGATGAGTTTTATACCGTTCTGAAGAGGATTAGACGCTGAATTCAAAACTGTATTTGTATCTGCCAAGCGCCTTTAGACGCTGAGTTGTGAGTGTTTTTATAGGAGCGAAAAATGCAAAATAGTAAATTCAATGGTTATGTCTTTCCAGCGTTCAAAATAAAGAAGTGGTACAAGTATGTTAGACAAAAGGTTTTGATGCAAATAGTGCTCGAGTATTTAATTACTGGTACATCACCAAAACATTTGACGCTAAAGTCTATCTCAGACCGTACTCATGATGAGCAAACCGATCACATCCTGCGATTACGGCAAAAAAAATGTGGTCATTCTGAACCTGTTTCAAGTCTTATTTCTCAAGCGCGTCAGCGGAAACACTGATTAAGCTATACAATACCGCTCACATTTTTTGAAAAAAAGACGCGAATGTATGGACATGTATGGACATGTCCTTACATTAGCGTCGCGTGGCCATATCTCGCTTCAGAGTGGGCGAATTCTGAATCCAAAGCCACCATTCGATTCAGCTCGGCGTGGAGAATCTTCTGATATATTGGAAGTGGGGGTACGATGTCTACGATATTCCATTTCCAAATTTCTTAAATTGTTCTGCGGAGGTCCTTTTGCGAATACATGAAGCGACGCCTACCCAACACAGAAGACGTTGCTGAGTACTATTCGATAATACTGCTCCTGTAGATTATTGTACGCTACAAAATAGGCTTAGACTTCTTTTCAAAGGAGATAGAAGCGTTGGTGAACTTTGGAAAAATCACGCGTTTTTAAATTCTACTCGCCATAACTTCCTTCGAAATAAGTATATTTCGAATCCGAAAACAGCGCCTTGCTCAGCTCATCAAGGCGAATCTTTTTATATACAGCATGTCGTTGGTATTTCGATTTCAGTACTCTTGAATCTTTCTGAGGACGTCTTTTCGCGAAGGTGTAAAGCAGCGAGCATTGCCTCGAGTAAAATTCAGCAAAGACCTTTCGACAGTACTTTTCCTGTAGATTATAATATGCTAAATATTAGCTGCAGATTTCTTTTTAAAGGAAATAGAGCGGTTGGTGAATTGTGGAAAAATCTTGTCGTCCCAAGTTCTACTCTCCATAGCCCTAGAATACGAAGCTATCTCGCTAAACAGATGTGAGTTTCGAAATCAGCAGGCCGGATAACCTCCCTGAGCAAGTTTTCCGACATGTTCGGGTTTTTTCATTTTTTCTCGTTTTACGCTCCGGAAGCTTGCCGATGGATTTTGGTCAAAATGTTGATGCTCTTGAATTGTAAGGAAACTTCGCTTATAGAGGTTTTTGAATACGCTCTTTACGAAAATCGTGGTCTTTGAGGATCATAGGGTCTTTTTGGAGAGATACGGTGAGGTGACTGTAACTGCGTCACGAAAGTGCGTAACTTTGCCCGCTTTTCTCGCGTATCTGTCAGCAAACCTTGCCTGCTTGCTTTTCTCAGTCAAAGTTACTAGGAACTGTGCTATCGAATGGTGCATTACTCAGGCTCCATTCTGTGAAATTCAACACGTTCTCATGAATCTTGCCCAAGATGTAAAGATCGCATATCTCGTCGAAATTCCTCCGTGAGCGCTTGTACAACGCGCTGATCAAATCCTTTCACATTTTTATTTATTTATTTATTTATTCTATACGCTCTTGGCGTTTCATACAATAGAATAGAAAGCAGTCATTTATCCTCTAACCGCAACGATAGTGCATCATTAGTTTAGGTCTAATCTTGATGAAAATGTGATGAAAGCTTGTATTTCACTGCTCTATGATTATAATTATCGGAATTAAATGATGCGATTCATGGAGATGTACCCATGCCCCCTTTTGCCAGCAAAATATTTTGATTTAAACAAGCAAACAAGGTTTGATGGTGGGTATATTATCCGACCCCACCAAACCAGTAAACCAGTATGAGCCAATGACTCCAAGTGAATTTCAATAAGGTTGTAATGATGGATAACTCATACATGAGCGTGCTCAAGTTAGATTATTGTAATCTATGGAGATGACAATCATGCCAACTCATTTGCCAGCAGAAGATGCTCTTGCAATAATGAAGCAAAGCGGGGCTCGGTTGGTGCAACAATACCAATTTACCCTGCCCAAATGATTCCGGGGAGAGTCTAATGACTCCGAAAGAATATCAAATAGTTTCACTTTTTGTAATTCATTTAAGAGCAAGTCAACAAGCTGTAATGATTGGGAAGAGAAGTAAATTGATTAGACCTGAACTAACGTATTCTTATATATAAAGCTGAATGTCTGTTTGCATATCTGTATGTATGTCTGTATGTATGTCTGTATGTACGTACGTTCCGAATAGAAAATTCCATTTCTGAACCGATCGGGACCAAACTTGGCACACATACACTTCGGGCCCCGGCGGGTATCATAGGCTACTTTTCATACCGATCGATATCGATTTTATCGATTTTTTGCAAAATTTGAGCTACAGGGCTGGGAGTTGGCACAGAGGGGTAATCGAGCATGCTACCCCCGTGGGGGTGATCAGCATGCTCGATTACACCCCTCTGCCAAATTCCAGCCCCCTAGCTCAAATTCTGAAAAAAATCGATAAAATCGACATCGATCGATAACGAAAAGTGGACTGTGACACACGCCGGGGCCCGAAGTGTATGTGTGCCAAGTTTGGTCCGGATCGGTTAAGAAATGGAATTTTCTATTCGGAACATACGGCGGAGCCGGGTAAGCCAGCTAGTAGCAAGATATGGGTTAGTAAGACATTTGAAAGAAAATAATATTAAAAAGACACAAATTGATGATTGTATTTGGTATGCATTTTGTGGTCGGATAATGTAATCGCACATGGCCAGCTATAGCAATACAGATGACGAATTGGTGCTATTCATTGCTCATTCTCAGAATGCCTCAAACGTAAGAGATCAAGTGTGTTGATTCTGCGTTTAAAAACATTCGTGCTCTGAGATTGTAAAGTATCTGGAATCTTCTAATGAATCTTATTGTGTTAGATTTGGTGCTTTGAGCTCTAGCCACGAAATAACTTTGATATTCAATTGAGCAATTGAAGCAGGCGCAAGCACCATATTCAGTACAGTGGGAGTCGTTCGACGAAGCGAACATAATATCTGCAACGAGCGTCATACAAGCACTCACAAAGGAATTTCGACGAGATATGCGATCTTTACATCTTGGGCAAGATTCATGAGAACGTGTTGAATTTCACAGAATGGAGCCTGAGTAATGCACCATTCGATAGCACAATTCCTAGTAACTTTGACTGAGAAAAGCAAGCAGGCAAGGTTTGCTGACAGATACGCGAGAAAAGCGGGCAAAGTTACGCACTTTCGTGACGCAGTTACAGTCACCTCACCGTATCTCTCCAAAAAGACCCTATGATCCTCAAAGACCACGATTTTCGTAAAGAGCGTATTCAAAAACCTCTATAAGCGAAGTTTCCTTACAATTCAAGAGCATCAACATTTTGACCAAAATCCATCGGCAAGCTTCCGGAGCGTAAAACGAGAAAAAATGAAAAAACCCGAACATGTCGGAAAACTTGCTCAGGGAGGTTATCCGGCCTGCTGATTTCGAAACTCACATCTGTTTAGCGAGATAGCTTCGTATTCTAGGGCTATGGAGAGTAGAACTTGGGACGACAAGATTTTTCCACAATTCACCAACCGCTCTATTTCCTTTAAAAAGAAATCTGCAGCTAATATTTAGCATATTATAATCTACAGGAAAAGTACTGTCGAAAGGTCTTTGCTGAATTTTACTCGAGGCAATGCTCGCTGCTTTACACCTTCGCGAAAAGACGTCCTCAGAAAGATTCAAGAGTACTGAAATCGAAATACCAACGACATGCTGTATATAAAAAGATTCGCCTTGATGAGCTGAGCAAGGCGCTGTTTTCGGATTCGAAATATACTTATTTCGAAGGAAGTTATGGCGAGTAGAATTTAAAAACGCGTGATTTTTCCAAAGTTCACCAACGCTTCTATCTCCTTTGAAAAGAAGTCTAAGCCTATTTTGTAGCGTACAATAATCTACAAGAGCAGTATTATCGAATAGTACTCAGCAACGTCTTCTGTGTTGGGTAGGCGTCGCTTCATGTATTCGCAAAAGGACCTCCGCAAAACAATTTAAGAAATCTGGAAATGGAACATCGTAGACATCGTACCCCCACTTCCAATATATCAGAAGATTCTCCACGCCGAGCTGAATCGAATGGTGGCTTTGGATTCAGAATTCGCCCACTCTGAAGCGAGATATGGCCACGCGACGCTGATGTATGGACATGTCCATACATGTATGGACATGTACGGACATGTACGGACATGTCCGTACATGTATGGACATGTCCGTACATGCCCATACATGTCCATACATTCGCGTCTTTTTTTCAAAAAATGTGAGCGGTATTGTAAGCTAAGTACTGTTGGGTTCTCCCAAGCGTTTTGACTTACGATCGGGCCAGTGCCCTGCCGTTGGTATCTGTTTGGTATTTGTGGGACTGCAGAAAAGACTTTTACTTGGTAAACTTTTCATGTCATGCAAAAATTTCAGTGTCGATCTTTCCAAAAACTTCTAATGCGACCGCACACCCGCCCGCATGAACATCGCTTGCGCCCGTGCTTGAACTCGCAACGTCCTCGGCATTTCTAAATTTGTGAAATTGTTGCATCAAAATGCATGAATGCGTCATAACTCACATTATACTTCCAGCAAGCTGTATTGCATCGCTTATTAGCAAGCTTGGGTCTCACGAACATATCGTAACATGAAAACGGCTTTCTCGCCTCGACAGCCACCTCCAAAATTAGTAAAAGCAGTAGCATCCACACGAAATGACGCATCCTTTTCGCACTTGTCGACTGCTCTATAAAGGTACTATACGTAGTTTCGACTAGACTCAATAGGAAGGATGCGTTTGAACTTGCTCAGAGCTGGATGTCGTAGCTTTTGAAAAAATAGAGGATACGGGCCAGGATTCGGGGTGTTAGCAAATTGGACATGTGTGTGGGCTAAGCAATTTTTGAAGATGATGATGCACGGGTCAAAGAAAAATTTGTGCAAAATCATAATAAAACGATTGAGTTCTCCACAATTTTTTTAAGATGCATGCGAAAAGATCGTCGCTCTCATAAAAAGTTTTATCAGCCTTCAATTGCTCTTTTTCCATGACGCTAAAGCCCTTCCAATCCCATAATTTTTTCTTTTTTTTACGCACTGAAAAGAATATCTCCAAAGTCGTCGCTTGGTTTTTGAAAAGCTTTGTAGATGAAAAGATGAAATACATAACCAGCAAAACCTTCCACCCAAGAAAAAATACGACTGTGCGAAGGACAAGCAAGAGTTGCATTAGCTTATAATGGAAAAGCGTTCCTGTTAGGGAACTCGAACACACGTAAGCGGACTTTTATACAGTTACCAGTGCAAGAACCTCTTTCAAAACTATAGTCTTTGCCAGTTTGAATGACTGAAATTGTCGAAGATGTTTTCTATTATCTTGTCGTTGAAAAAAATGATATCAGGCACTATTATTATAGACACCTTCTTCTTACTAAGATACCAGATGATGTCATATGCTTATAACTGAGTAAGACTCGAAATGTAGAATGCTTGATCATCCCGCAATATGTAAGAGAATGACGTTTAGAACTTAGAGGACACTTTCTAATTTTTGAAAAAGTGAGTCAATAATTAACAGAGCAATAATTGACTAAATGGCGAGAATTTTGGCAAAGTACCCATTCGCAGAAGTCTTCAAATTTTATCTATGTTTCGCAGCATTTTTCGTAAAATTGAACGAATTTTCTGCTCTTCATTTAACATACCGATTAGATTGATATTCTTGGAACTTTGAGCAAATTCGGCCTCGGGCTGATCGTTATTGAGCTATCAGTACCTAATAGCGGGGGGGGGGGGGGGGAGGTACGCGTTATGGAGCAAAGCTACGCCGCATTCCCCTGCGGTATATCCTGAGGGCCAATTGCGTTGCGTCGCCTATAATAGCGCAGGAGTAGCACCGCTACAGCCAGCGGATTGAGCCATTCCCTATAATTGCGACCTGATATGTTCAAACTGCATAAATGCAATAAAGAAATAATAAAGAGTAGTAGAGTAGAATAATAAGAAGCAATAAAGAATAAGACTGGTATTTAGTATCCAGTATTGGGAACAGATCTCGTATTTTCATTATTGTTATAAAATCATTTTCGAAGAGTTCGTGAAATGCGAGGGGACAACGAGGTTAGTAGATTGGATAGTCAGTACCTCTATCATTGAATTCAGAATTGTACCAAACTTTAGTTCTGTCACTCTCGTAAAACATGATCTTTGGGCTTATTCATTCATAGTATTTATTCAATCACCGATGCAAAACAATCACATTGCAATAATCATTGCATGAGATCGCACAAGTTTTTGTACGAAATGAGATGCAGATCATTTATCCTTTGATTCATCATGAGTGGCAGGTGGAAGGCGACCGCTCGCCCCGCGAGGCATCCTGCGTCTCTCTCGCAAACGCGCTCTCTAATCATTCCTTCGCCTTGATTAGGCCTTGAGCCCCGCCTTCCAGCCGCCAATCCCTATGAATCAAAAGGTACATTCTTTCGATTCTTCAAAGTGGCAAAAACGGTGGTCTACCTTTAATGTCTTTAGCAGTTATTGAGCTGTTCAACCTTGCCCTCAGTTCTTGGTGTAACCAGTTTTTTTGAAATCTAAGCGCTGATTTCAGTCAAATTCTCACATTCATTTTCCTTAGCGTTATTGAATTTTTCCCCTACAGGTAGGTGACCCGCCTGAGCCAAAATGATCTCAGTTTACCCAAAGTCGATCTGCCAAAATGTGGTTCGCTCCGCATTTGCGTCTCACGCTTGCAAATGATGCAAATACATAACTGTTGGATTTTAATGGTGGTTAGGGGACACAGCTACTTCAGTTGTCTTTGTCACTTCTTTGCTGCTATGCATTCGTATGGATAGTCAGTACCATTGTAAGGACTATCCTATATATGAGTTGAGGGTGTGAAATATATTCAGAACAATAACCTTCTGTTACCAACGATAATAATAGATGCATGTGGGCTGACCGTGGTAATGCGTACCTCAACTCAAACTTGGGTAATTAAACCGTTTACTTAAGAACTATAAAGGAAAACCGACAAATTAACATAGAACAAGATAACATGAGACTAAACCACATAAGAAGTGCAAATGAGTAGTGATGTCAAATGATACTGACAGGAATAACTGATGAAAAAGATATGCGTGGCAGCCATAATCGCTATAATACTTGTTTGTCCTTTTCTACTTGATACTTGATTTTCATACTTGCCTTTCATACTTGTTTGGTTTCATACTTGTTTGGTATGATCGTTTTTGAATTTGGAAGAAAAAAGCACGAAAACTATTCAAAATCAAATTCAGAAAATATGGGTCTACTGTAGCACAACCTTATATACTTTGATAATAGATGATAATTAGAAAAAGGCAATGGAATCAACGGCGCTTGGCCGGCATGCGACTCATTTGGCTCTCAACTCGCCAGTTAGACCCATCTGGTGCAGCTGGCGCTTTGACTTACTCGGCCGCACTGTTTTTGAGACCTAAAATAAATTTGCAAGACTGAGAATACATCTTGCTTCGAATATTTACTTGTTTTTTCTTGTTGTCGCTGGCGACAGTATATAATGCTTTTTCTTTCCTAAAAAGTGAATAAGGAACAACTTGGGGAAATAGAAGTTTTGTAAAATTTGGTTGGTCGCTAAAAGCTACTAGTGCGAAAACACCTCATATCTGCAGGTGCCCTGTATTTGCTACATGAGCTAGAGACTTACTAATATCTGTATCAAAGTAGCTCCATAAAAATACCAAAGCCAGCCACAACACCCATAACTTCGAGGAAAAAACATGAATTTTTGGACGTCTAAAAATTTGAAAGAGTGCCCAGCTGCGTTAGTTAATCTCGAATTTTACATGTCACCTTCCATCCACAATCTGAGTTGTAATCTAAGGTGTTGTAATATACAATTACATGTGTGAAAACAGCATAGCTTCGTTTTTGTATGAGCTTTAAAATTTTCATTTTCTCGATTTCTAGATGAGGAAAAAATACAGAAACGGATGAGCGTCTGATGTGTTGTGATGATGTATTGCGTAAGCAAGTTGGAGACCGTGAGACTTTTCTGAGCAAAGATATGAATTTTCCCCATTTTTTGAGCCTACAGTACGACTCAGATTCTGGATACGAACTTACGGTGGGTCAAAGCTGGTGCAAACTTTTGTACATCTTGCAGAGCTTGCTTTGCTCTGTGTCTTGTACTTTGAATTTCGAAGTGTACGACTTATCGCCGTAAGAAGTTAAAGTGTAACAATTATGTCGCGACCTAAAACATTGACTGCTCGACTGCCCACATTTCCATAAAGCTGTTATCATGCTGTACAATGCTGAATCTTCAGTCAAAAGCACTGTTGATTTATACCTGTATAAAAATCATTACTATCTTGGTAGTCCTCCATCTCAGCCGGCTATAATTTAGTGTTCGGACATGTATTTCTCGACTGTCAAAGGTGGAGGTACCCAGCAAAATTTGCATCCACATCGATCGCGTCCTTTGTAAACTTTGCAAATCCATCACCGCCTCATTAAATTCGGCTGATAATACCGCCCATCAGGAACGAGAAGCTTCACGGTCTACTTTGATTTACTGTTTTTTGCAGACTTTATGGCATTTTGACGGAGATCCCTATTGAGACGCAGATATAGTTGAGCGATTGCGACCGCGGCGCCTCGCATATTCTGGTTGTAAATCGTGTTTCTCGCGCTTTGTGGCTAATGAAAGGGCATCCGCGACTCCAGGTTCTGCGCATTTGTCCGGCAGTAGCCTTTATGTTGAGGAAAAGTATATAATCTGATCATTTACGTAAGTTTGTATGAATTTATTGTTAGAAAGCCACAGCGAGAAGCGCTGTTTGCTCTCAATTCCGGCCTCGCTGTCAGTTTGCATTTCGCTCTTCAATCTTCTCAGCAAAGTTTTGCAGTCACAGATAAAGTGAGTTCTGGTAAACAGTATAAAGACTGTTCACTTTTTATCGACCCTCACACTGTTTGAAGGCATGTCCAGCCAACATTATGTTCCTTGGCTTCCTACAGGGTTTCCCAAAAAGATGTGCACACTGTTTAATCGTTAATAACTCTCTCGTCAGTCTTTCACGTCTTTTGCCGAGCTTGAGGTAATTTTTTTAAAACGAGGTTCAACTTAGATTACAGCATGGAGCAAATTATCAGTCGCCTTTCATTACTGTAGGACTACGGTAGAAAGATCGAGGAGGATTTTAAGCCATCCAAAGTGATTTTTGCCTTAGGACAAAAACCAAACAAGGCAGAAACTCTTGTATTGATCTAACTAAAGTCGCTGATTCTAATTATGAACTGCATTTTATAGGGCTTCTTTCAAGAATTGTTTCAGATTTAGGTTCAAACTGTTTTTCCAATGTTTGTCAGAAGTGTGAATACGCCGTCAAGAAAGCTCAAAAAACTGATGGAAATGAATGCAGTGAAATTAGCACGCCTGAAAACCTTGCTACACTATTTTTCAGATTTATTTTTGAAACTGTTTCAACAAAAGGCCTTATCCACATTGATGATGTATGCTGACAGTTCATACCGTAATCATACAATAATGGAGAGCGCTTGCCAATATACAAGTGCCCCAAAAAGATGTGCACGCTGTTGAATCGTTAATAACTCTGGCCCGTAGTAAAGCTTGATCAGTTGAGGTGAACTCAACTTAACCCATCAATTCACCGCACGTGAGGTGAACTGATGACCGCCCACCCTACCATGCTATAAGATGGTCAAGTCAACTGATAGTTGACGATCTGTCCACCTGCTGCAGTCAACTCTTCCACATCACTTAACGTTCAAGTCACCTCAACGTGAACGGATGTCAGAGTGATCCAAATAGTGTGTAGAAGAGGAGACGCAGACAAGAGGTGACTGCATCTAACATAAGTTGCTCCTGAGTAACTTACGATACACACAGCTTTGCCAAAAAATGCAGACAAAATCGGCGCAAAACTGCACAACCGCGCCCGAAAAGGAGAGGATCGATGAACAGCTGATTTTGGAGGAAAACAATAAAAGCGAATACTTTCCTTTTTTTTTGTAAACTTTACCGATTTTTTTTTGAGAAGCTGTCCAAAACGAGAACTCATTCATTTATTTCATTGAATTCACGCCGCAACCATTTCGTTTTTCCATAAAATTTTCGTTGCAAAGTGTATTTTTGTTTTATCCGTGCGTTTGCTAAGCGAAATCCTTGATAGCGGTCATCATCGATTGCGATAATGGCCGCTATCAAAGGTCGCCCGCGATGCAGCAAAAGATGTGTCGCGACGGAGTCGAACCACAGCCGCGCGCGTTTAATTCCAGTCACTTACCCGTTTGACCAAATCGGACCGAGTGGTTCCTTTCTCAAGAACACACTTGATCATAATGTCTAGGAAGCGATCCGCATCCAGATCAATAGGTCGACGCATGCTGGACTAAGGCACGATGACCTCAACTTCGGTCCGCGTCGAGAGAGACGCCCTGATGGGGGGTTTACTACGGGCCTCTTTTGCGTCCATGTCTTTTGCCGAGTTTGAGGTATCATTCCGTAAAGCAAGGTTCAACTTAGACTCATAGTATGGAGCGAATCACCAAACGCTCTCCATTACTGTATGATTACAATATGAACTTTCAGCATACATCATCAATGTGGATAAGGCCTTTTGTTGAAACAGTTTCAAAAATAAATCTGAAAAATAGTGTAGCAAGGTTTTCAGGCGTGCTAATTTCACTGCATTCATTTCCATCAGTTTTTTGAGCTTTCTTGACGGCGTATTCACACTTCTGACAAACATTGGAAAAACAGTTTGAACCTAAATCACCAAGAAATTTGATAAAAGTCTATCTCAGACCGTACTTACAATGAGCGAACCAATCAGAGTCTGCGATTATGGTAGAAAACGTGGTCGTTCTGACTAGGGCTGGGCACATGTGGCTTTTAAGCAAGCTGGATATCGTTTTTGGGCCAAAAAGCAAAGAAGATTTTGCTTTTGTGGCCAAAAATGCGGAACATTCGCCACGTTTTTTTCGTCGACTTATCGTTTTTTGGGAGGTTTTTAGAGATTATGGCCTAGAGTCAAAGGGGACTTCGTAAAAATTCGCAAAAGTCAAGGGGGACTTCGTTTTTTTGCATTTTCAACTAGTCACCTCTTGCCGAGCCCTGGTTCTGATTGTTTTCCTTCTCAGGTGCGATGTCGTAAACACTTCCGCTTCTACAGTCAAGTTGTCAAGTTGTATTGGGTTCTCCCAATCGTCTTGTACTTGCGACTGGACCAGGGCACTGCAGTTGGTATCTGTTTGATAATTTGTGAAAACTGCAGAATAGAGTTTTATTCCTGAAATGCTGAAGGTTTATGCGAAAATTTCAGTGTTGATCCTTCCAAGGACTATATTCTAGTGCGATCACACACGCGCCCACATGAACATCGCTTGCGCCTTTTCTTAAACTCGCAACGTCCCCAGCAATTCTAAATTTGTTAGATCTCTTGCATCAGAAAGCATGAATGCATTAAAACTTACCTTAATCTCCTCGCAAGCTGCATCGCATCGCTTATTAGCAAGTTTGGGTCTCACGAACATATCGTAGCACAAAGTCGGCTTTCTCGCCTCCACAGCCACCTCCAAAATCAGTAACGGCAGCAGCATCCACGCAAAATAACGCATCCTTCTTGCACCTGTCGAAATGTTCTATAACAGTACAATCATTTACTGCGCAGGAAATTCATGTGTATTACATCCAACAAGACACTAAAGTGTATAAAAAATCAACGCATCAAATAGAAACGACTAACAAATGAAGGAAATGTGGCGAGGAAGTTCACAAGAATCACTTTGAACTGAGACCATTTTAAAGGAAGCATACTCTTTTTCATCTGTTTATCTAGACCGTACGTACTTTCGGACTAGACTCAATAAGAAAAATGTTCGGAGGTTTGGGCTTGCTCAGAGCTGGATATCGTAGTCAATGAAAAATAGCAAAGTTCATACAGGGTTCAGGTACCGAATATAATGCACATGTGTTTGAGCCCTTGAATTTTTGAGATATCTTGAATTGGCTCAAAGCAAAATTGCATAAAATTCAAAAAAAAAATGATTGAGCTTTCTATAATCTCAAGGTTGGACGCAAAGGAACGTTGCAATCATAAAAGTCTTTATCAGCCCTCATTTTTTCATTCAAGACCCTTCCAAACATGATTGATTTTTGATTTAAGATTGATTGACCTTGATTTTTTTCACTCTACCTTCCATGTATTGAATAAAAATATCCTTAAAGTCGTCGCTTGGTATGTCGACAATTTCGGACATCAAATACATGCCTAGCAATACCTTGCACTTTCAAAAAAATATGAATGCGAAAGAGAGACAACATATTCTATAGGAAAGTTCTGTTATGAAATGACACATGTATATTCGTCCCAGACTTTTATACAGTCATACAGCCACAAGACAAAGAACCTCTTCTAAAAATATAGTCTTCACCAATGTAAATTGACTGATGTCAATATATTCTATTGTCTTTTCTTCAAATAAGATGATGTCAAGCACTTTTATGTAGATACTTTCTGCCCACTAAGATGCCAGATGATGTCAGATGCTTATAACTGACTGACACATGAAATGATATAGAGCGCTTGATCATTCTGCAATATCATAGGAAAAGAACGTCAAGAACTTGAAGAGCATGACCTTTCTAATATTTTGAAATAACTGACAATAGGCGATAATTCCTTTCCTGTAGTACAGCAAAGAGATGATTGGCTGAACTGCGAAATTCGCCGAGTATTTACACAATCGCAGAAATTTACCTATAATTTGCCGCATTTTTCATGGTATCAAACGGATTTTTTGCTTTTCAGCGTTGCGATGCTGTTTCCGCGCAGCCTCCAAGGTCTAGCTCCTGACATGTTGGATGGGCTAATAATCCTAGAACTTTGAAGAATTTGATCTCAGCTCGCATTTGCCGTATATCAAGCTGATTGTCTAATATGTACGACGCCTTTCATTCCGACGAGCACTAAAGGAATTGTAGGACTCTTCAGTGAAACAATAATGGTTTTGGGATGCTCGAAGTTGCTAGTAATCCACCCTTCGTGTGAAATACGGTGGGCGAAGGCTGAACTTTGGAGTTATATAAAAGTCAGTATCTACATGTCTAAGTCCCCAGGTCTGCCTGAGCAATTTCTTCCAACAAGTGAATTCTCGGTAAGTCCTACGTGCTTAATGCTCTTGCAACATAATTTATACAGAACTTCTTGGCACTTTGACTGTTTCGCTTATAGAAGGCTTGAGGCGGCGTTATAAGCAGTTTTCAGGAAAGTTAAATGCAATTTCGTCAATATTGCTTTTGTGAAGAGGTCGCGTTAGCTCATAGTGTCCAAAACAGCCAACTGCGGTGCGCAGTTAGCTTCGAGTGATAGTATGAGTTTTTGACAGGCCAACTTCATGGATGGAAATATGTAGAAAGCTCTTTTGCCATAATGCGCGCCGCTTCATTTGCCGTACGGACTTTCATATTTGAGGGCTTTACATCTCGGCGGAGATACCTCTTCCTTTTTCCTCGAACGGCCTACCATCAAAGGGCCAAATTTCTGAATGCTCCTCCTCTTCTTTTGCGAACTTTTTCTCCCTCTGAAGGTCGAAATACCAAATGGTGCGTGCTCAGCCTGAGTGACATCACCCTCCGAACTCTTTCTCCGTTTACTACTTGGTTTTTCCCGGTAATTTTCTACAACATTTTGAAAACTTCTCTGGCTTCCTTAGTCCATCTCAGCAGAACTATGGCGCGTTTGAAAAAAATCGTGAGGATGACGCGACCGCGTGCGACATGCACACTCTTTCGGTAACCTCATTTTCTTGATTCCCATTTCTAATTGAATGATTTTCTGCTTACGATAGTATGTTAGCATTTAGACACTGAAAGTGACGGGCCTAGGGTCTAGTCTTTCGAAAATGAAAACGTTTATAATTGTAGTCTTCCTTACAAGGAAAGTCAGGTAACTTATATTCGCGTTTTTAGATGAGACATATATTAGGTTGGTCCGAAAGTTCTGTCCCATCATATTCGAAAAAAATCATAACCTCCTCCTAGCATGATATTTTGAATGGCTAAAACCTTTTTGAAAAGAGCAACTCATGCGCTTTCTAGAAACATCTTGGCTGCTATCTAATAAGCTCCGATTGCAGGAAAATTGGGAAAAGAAAGTCACTTCAAGTTCGGGATTTTCAGCACATTGACGACCGCTTGACACACGTGGTGTGTCAAGCAATGACTACCGCGTGGGACCGCTTAGCCTTGAATTTATTCAAAGTGACTATCATCCTGAAGTAAACTCACTCTATAAGCTTTCTTTTGCATTAAATCTAGGGTTGACCTCTACCTTTTTTATCTGCCTCTCAGAACTGCTTTAGATGTAGTGTAGAGGCAGTATGCGTAACTATCGTTAGAAAATCTGGGTTTTGTAAATGGCTTTAGTCCCAAAAGGCAGACAACTAAAAATTTGCATGGTCGTCAGTGTGTTAAGAAAGCCCGTTAAAAAATCTAGAACTGTGCCATAAAATCCAAAACAGCCAGTAGCGTAGGTATTTTGATCCCCTCTTTCTAGATGAGCAAAATTTGCGCTGATCGAGCTGTTATCTTGAAAATTATGATTTGGAGAAAATGTCAAAAAAATCAATTTTCTTGAGAAACTGATTTTTTGGCATTTTTTCTTGAAAATCATAACTTTTCTAAGAAGAGCTCCATCAGCGCGAATTTTGCTCATATAAAAAGAGGGGCTCAGAAAACCTACGCTACTGGCTATTTCGAAATTTATGGCACAGTTTTAGATTTTTTAACGGGGCTGCTTGAAAATTCCAAACTTGAAGTGATTTCCTTTTCCCAATTTTATCTCTGCAATCAGAGCTTAGTAGATAGCAACCAAGACTTTTCTAGAAAGCGCATGAGTTGTTCTTTTCAAAAAGATTTTAGCCATTCAAAACATCATGTAGAGAGGAGGTTATGATTTTTTGAAAATAGTGGGACAGAACTTTCGGACCAACCTAACTATATTAGGTTGTCCGCAAATTAATGCCCATTTTGAATTTCAACCGCAATAAGTCACACATTTCTCATTTCTAAATAGGCTGCAAGGTATCATTTGATAGAGCAAAGTAAGCTCTACCAGATGGCTATCTTGCTTTAGCAATAGCTCTGATCCACAGCGTGTTTCGCGCCAAAAACTAAAAACATTCAAGCGTCCGAAAAATTGAGAAAAATCGTAACTCAGTTCATAAAAATCCTATAAAAATTCTAACTTGCTCCCGTAAACATAATCCACATAGAGCATCTATATACGCCGTTGCCGTATTTTTTCTCTGTTAGAAATCAAGAAAACGGAAATTTTCGTGCATTGTTAAAAGGATACTGTGCCGTCCCCACATAGGTAGTTGTATACCGCGAACATGTAGAAATACAAACGTAAATTTCCAGCTCTCCACAAGCTTTAGTTCTCGAGAAATTCGAATTTTAGCTTGGACCACATGACTAAGGAAAACTTTATTCGATATTTCTTGAGCACTAAAGCTTGTAGAGAGCTGAAAATTTACGTTTATACTTCTACGGGTTTATAGTATACAACTGCCTATGTGAGGACGGCACATCATCACTTTGCCAAATGCGAGAAAATTTCCGTCTTCTTGGTTTCTAACAGAGGAACAAATACGGCAAAGGCGTATATAGATGTTTTATGTGGATAGTGTTTACGTGAGCAAGTAAGAATTTTTGTAGGATTTTTTTAAACTGAGTTACGACTTTTTTTGATTTTTCGAGTTGCTGAGTCTTTTTAGTTTTTGGCTCAAAACTCGAGGTGGATGAGAGTCGTTGCAAAAGCGAGATGGCCGTTTTGTAGAGCTTGCTTTGCTGTATTGAATTGTACTTTGCAACCCATTTGGAAATGAGAAATGTATGACTTATTGCAATTGAGATTCAAAACGGGCATTAATTTTCGGACAACCTAATACTTTATTTTTTTACTTTCTCATTTTGTTCTAATTTTCTTATTGTTTCCATGCAATCCAATCTCATTACCCAGGATAACGCAAGAATACCCTAGCATCTCTTGGTCATGGTCCAAAATGGAGCGCTATGGCGGCGATACTTGCCGTAGCGTTGTAGCGGAAAGCTTCCATAGATAATAAGCGCAAAAACATCTCGTTGGCTGTATTTCTGCCAATATTCAGTTGCGAGTTACAAATTCTTGTTTTCTTATATAGCATAAACCATTGCATTTTTGATCGGGTCAAAGGAGAACTAAAATAAGCAGAGCAATTTTATGTAGATAGCTTTTGCATATCAACTCACCAACGGGTACTTTTGGTAAAAAGGCTTGACCAAGTTATATGAACAAAGTCAACGTTGGTACTACTAGTGCTGCGTTTTTATAGCAACTTCTGTCCATGCAGACGTTCAGTTTGTGTGGGTAACTGAAGATGAAACAATTCCAAAGGCAATCATGTGTTTGACTGCAAACTTTTCACGAAATAATCTGATAACGAAATTACGAGTTATCTGCGTTTCAAGTGTTTCCTTCTACTTGTAAGCAGATTTTTAAAGAAGTACATGATTGCAATTTGGCTCGATCTACTTAACAGATTGATGACACCCTTCCCACTGACGTGTTCTGTGATTCAAGTGATTTTGGGAAAGAAACTGTACGCGTTCTATGAGATTGTCA